TGGATAAGATAGATAGATAGATAGATAGATAGATAGATAGATAGATAGATAGATAGATAGATAGATAGATAGATAAGGGAGAGAGAGGAGAGATAGAGATGAGAGAGAGGGGGATGAGAGGGAGAAAGGATAGAGAGAGACAGAGAGAGACAGAGATAGCATAGAGACAGAGAGAGACAGAGATATGAGAGACAGATGAGATAGATGAGAGAAAGAGATAGACAGAGATCTATCTGATTGATACAGACTGAAAGACATGGAGAGACAGAGAGAGGGAAATAGTGAGAGACAGAGAGACAGATAAACATACAGAGAGATGAGACTTAGACATATATCCCGCTTCACGGTGCTTTCCAGTCCTCTCTAAGCGATTTACAGAGTCAGCCTCTTGCCCCCAACAATCTGGGTCCTCATTATACCGACCTCGGAAGGATGGAAGGCTGAGTCAACCTTGCGCTGGTCAGGATCGAACCGCTGGCAGTGGGCAGAGTTAGCCTGCAATGCTACCTTCTAACCACTATGCGCCACCAGGGCTCTTCAAATCAACCCCTCCCCCTCGCACCCCGATGTGGCTGGCCAGGTCCACCTCTCACCTGCCGGTACTGGCGGGTGGCCTCCAAATCCCTCTGAAACCACTCCTCCTCTTCCGCATCCAGCTTGTAGTCTTCCGGGACGACGTAATTCAAGGGCCGCTCGTCGCAGCACATTTCGCATCCGGGGCGTGACGGCTTGTTGATAAACGTACAACTCCGGCACTCCCAACCAACCTAGGAAGCCACGCGAGCAGGCAGGGGGGGCAAAGCAGTAAGGGGGATGCGGGAGACAAGCAGGCAGCCCGCTTAGAAGGAGAAGATTCGGAAGGGACCTTGGAGCAGGGGTGGGTCTCAAAATTTTTTACTACCAGTTCGGTGGGCGTGGCTAGATGGGGAGGCACGTGACTGAGTGGGCGGGGCCAACTTAATGTCACTCACGCACACTCAGTCGCATGATTCCCCACCACCTCCAAGCCACGCCCACCGAAGCGGTGGTGAAAAGTTGGGGGAAGGGGGCCGCCAGTCCAGGGCGCTATCTTTTTTTGGGTGGGCTCCCTCAGAGGCAGCTTCTCTTTCTGGCCCACCAGCAGAGAACAAGGGTGCTACCTGGGGGTCCCCTTCCCTCATTCTCCGCACCGCTGCCCGCCGGCAACTCGACTCCGTGCAGAGCGGGCTGCGGAGGGTGCCATAAGCCAGGTTGATCAGGGCGGCGTGCTGCTCCGAGAAGCCGCCACTTGGCTGACTCCCAGCTGTGGTCGGCGACTGAAGTGGTCCGGGTGTGAGCGCTGCAGGGCCATGAAACGCTGCCGGAGCCGGAACAGGTCCAGGAAGAAGATGTGCGGGCAGCCCAGCCCCCTGAAGAGTTCCGCGTAGGGCTCCAGCAGCTGCAGAGCGCAACACGAGGGGCAGAAGCTGGGCCCCGCCGCCCCTGAACCCAGCAGGGCAACGCGGCTCCAGCAGCAGCAGTGCCGGGCCGCCTTGGATCGGACAGTCATGCGCACAACGCCTGCTGTCACATCTGCTCCGGCAGCTGGGCAGGCAGCCGCCCAATCCCCACCCCAATCCCAGGCTGAGAGAACCGGTACGGGGGCATGGCCAGCCTGGGTCCCTGGCTGGTTCCAACGACCCAGGCCACCAAGTTACTACCGGTTTGGCCGAACTGGTCCAAAATGGTAGGAACCCACCTCTGCCTTGGAGGTCTCGTACCGAGTCCCCCAACCTTTCTGGGTTGAAGGCCTGGAGCCGCGAGGGGAGGAGGGCAAGAGAGGATGGTTTTGTGGGAGGGGCAGGCAGGTGTGACTATGCACACCCTCGTTCCTTGCGCAAGTGGGGCTGAGGGCTCCCCCGTGCACCACCACCCAGCCACTCGTACAGCCCGTGTACGAATAGGCTGCTGTCTGGTAGTGGGTCACAGCCCACAGGTAGGGGACTCCTGTTCTAGACCAACCCCCTTGCTTGAGCAGGAGATCCTATGCCCTTGATGGCGATCCTATGGCACGCATGCCACAAGTGGCACACGGGGCCAACGCACAATCCGAAGTTCGGGAACAGGGAAGCCTCCTGAAGCCTCCGGAGGGAGAAAAACGGACCTACGGGACCCACTGTTGGAAAACGGGTTTTCGGCCTCCGGAGTGCGTCCAGGGGGTCACGCACACATGAGCAGGGGGCACGGAACAGGGGGGGCATTAAATTATGGGGGTGGGCACGTGACATCTCCCATCTTCTTAATCTCTACATCACCCGCTTTCTTGAATGTCTCCTACCTTAGGGGGCTCCGCGGGGAGGGTCACCCCACAGCCGCTGCCCTCCTCGTGCACGTCCAACATCAGGGAGGGCTCCGACGGCGTCGAGAAGCCCGAAGAGGTTGAGTCGCCAGCTCCCCGAGGCAACAGGACCCCTTCTCTAATGCCCAACTCTGACGACGAGACACAAGGGAGAAAGAAAAGATGTCACCATGTGTTCTGAAACTCATGGTGACTCCACTCCCCTTTCGCTCCTCTTTTATTCCCTCTGGGAGGGGCCATTCACCATCCACCTGTTGCCTTACTCTCAAGTCAACCCCTGTTCTTTAGCTGTTCTTTTCTTCTGGCAACTCTACGCATGGGCACACTGGGAACAGGCTCCCGCTGTTCTTCTGCCTCACTGACTCTGAAGGCAGCTGATAACTGTCAGATGGCCCTGGCCCCCTCTCTGCCTCCGACGAAGAGCCCTCGTCCGAGCCTTCTGCAGACTCCAGGACTGCCTCATCTTCCTCCCCAACCTCCTCACTCTCTGACTCTGCTACCATCTCCGCTGGCAGGCCACAAACTCTCTACACTATAGAGTTTTAAAATGTCATAGTTTGAAAGAGTACAGATACACGTAGTCCTCGACTTACAACCGTTCATTTAGTGACTGTTTGAAGTTACAACAGCACTGAAAAGAGTGACTTACGACCGTTTCTCACACTTATGACCATTCCAGCATCCCCAGGGTCACGTGATCAAGATTCAGACGTTTTGACAACTGACTCATATTTATGATGGTTGCAATGTCCCAGAGTCATGGGATCCCCCTTTTGCGACCAGTAGTCCTCGCTCTATGACCAATATTTCATTTCATTTCATTTCTTATATTTATATGCCGCCCTTTTCCCCCGAAGGGGACTCAGGGCGGCTAACAAATCAAATCAGGGAAGGGGGGTACAGACAAAAAATAAAAAATAAACAATACATAACAATAAATAATTTAAAAACACACGACAGTCATACCATTCAAGACGGGGGCAACAGCTCTTTAGCCCCAGGCCTGTCGGAACAGCCAGGTTTTAACGGCTTTGCGGAAGGCCTGGA